AATTCGTAACACAGTGCTTTTATTGGTGCGCGATAAAAAGCGTAGAAATTTACTGTTTTTTAACGCATAACAAAAATTTGGACAACATTTAGAAAGGTCTATTTCTCGAACCGCCGAGGTAGTTGCACTTATATTTATACCAACGATTAGGAAATTTGATATTCTACATTTCTGTGTAATGTTATAGCCTTACGTAGATCCAGGACCACGCGAGCGCAATTCTCGCACAACGTTCACTTTTCAAAGCGTGTGAAAATGTGCCCCTGAAAAAAACTCGGCATCAAGGGGGTTAAGAAAACCGGTAAATAAGTCAAACATGTTTACATTAGTGTAATTTTCAACACTTATGGATGGAACAATGATTCCATTCGCCGACGTTGTTCCATTGTGCTTTAATTAGTGGTGATATGACGCCGAAGTTGAACAGCTCCCATAAGAGATCCAGTCTTAAATAATAATAACCACACTCCACCCTTTGGCGCTTCGTCGATCATGTTTGTTTGTTTCTGTATGTATTATTCGGTTGTTGCTGCATTTTGATGATTCAGACGATGAGTTACACAATAGCACCATATTCATGATGGGCATGCATAGAAGATTACTATTGCATAAAATCCATTTGCATACACCGAATATTATCATTACATGAAATCCCTAGAAAGTATTTGCTTTCTCACTAAAACTAATACGATACTAATTCAAATACTACATGGACGCATCACACACACATACACATAAGTACATACCACATACACACAAACTCATATAAAGATGAATATATCGCTTTATCGCTATATCGCAGTATTGCTGTTTCACCATGTCGCGTAACCATTTCGCATTATCGCAATTTCGCTTTATCGCTATATCGTAATATCGTATATGTCGCACTATCGCCGTATCGCCTGTTTAAATCGCATTGTAAACCAAAAGTCACTGTGTTCTTTAATCTGATTGGTTGAAAAACGTGATCAAATGGTATTTGATTCCCGGAAATTCGCTGCGTATTTAGGAGATAAACATCATGTGTTGGCCAATTTCCGGGTGTTATTGAGTATTTGAAGCACGGGAATATTCCATTTGGAACCGACGGCGTCAGCCGGAGGTTTCAAATGAATTATTCCCGTGCTTCAAATACTCAATAACACCCGGAAATTGGCCAACACATGATGTTTATCGACATTGTAAACACAAAAGTAAACCAAAAGGTCCACACACGTTTTTGTGTCTGCACTCATTGACATGGAGTACGGATACAGCAGTGCAATGTCATCAGCCGGCCGTTTCGGCTGTCTCCCATGGTAGCATCTAGAACTGCTCATTTGTGACGTCATTCGGACTTTACGTCACAATTTGATTTTAATGACGTCATCTCAGCTGACGACGTAACAATACAATGGTGTGAGCGATGTTTGTATGTATTAATACGCAGCGAATTTCCGGGAATCGAATACCATTTGATCACGTTTTTCAACCAATCAGATTAAAGAACACAGTGACTTTTGGTTTACAATTAGGAGATAAACACCGGAGCACCTTTAGAATACAGCACCACAACTTCTCGTGAGGACGATCCCTGCCGTAGGTCACGTGTCATTAAGACAAGCAACCAGTTTGGTGGGAACCCGTCGGACGCGAACCCGCGACCTTCGGATTGTTAGCCCGACAGCTAACCGACTGAGCTACGTCCACACTGTTGCATTATGTGCAAATTTGTCGAGTCATTCCTGTGACGTCACGGAAATGAACGAAAAGAGTCGAATAGGTCACGGACAATTACGAAGGTTACGGGTAGACTTGGTGTCTCGTGATTTTATTCTACGGACAATTGCCGAATGGATCCGATGCCATTTGGCACACTCGTCCCACACAAATTAACGTGTGGCGTGGAATGAGCCGATATGCCTCATAAACTGAAAAGGGTTGTTGACGTCAGGCGTCAGACGTAGATTTCACGGTGCATGCATGAATGACGCGCTTTTATATAAATCGGTGATTTTGTGACAGAAACGTGATGTAGGGAACACTGTAAGGATAATGTGGATCGCACTAAAGAACGAGGGAGACATGAGCATGTGTAGTGACGGCACGAGGGTGAGTTAGCCTTCGAATCATTACTTTACAAAATTTATGTTGCGTGTGAAAGAAGCTTGAGTGCAAATTCCAGGCCAATTTTCATTAGCCCAAAATTTCTACATAAACCCATTTCATAATGTACTTTCGACGTTTTTGGTTTCCCGTTTTTGTGTGAAAAAAAGTATTAAAATGCAAAAAGGAAAAACAACAAATGGTACTCACATTTTACACCGGACATGTACCTGCTATATTGGATTAGGTCCCTAACCCTAACCCTAAACCTAAACCCTCAGCCCAAACCCTAACCCCTTGAAATAATCCTAATAAATAGAATGCATTGACCGAATCACCGGACATGTACCTACTATATTGCATTAGGTCCCCAACCCCAACCCTAACCCTAACCCCTAAACCCTAAGCCCTAAACTTTAACCCTAGCCCTAACCCTAGTTCTAGCCCTAGCCCTAACCCCAATCCCTTGAATTAATCCTAATAAACAGAATGCATTGACCGAACCGGCACAAACACGACTGACATGTCTAGTGTAATGCATTATTACCGCTTCGAAAAATAAAATACTAATAAAACACTTTTCTATGTAATGGTGCAAATTACTGAATGACAAAAATATAAAGGTAAATTAAAAAAAATAAAAAATACACCTCAGCAGTCCGTAATACAAATAAATATGTGCGTATTAGTGAAAAAAGAAAAAATATTTCAAACTGGTGCTTGCAAAATATTGCGCATCCGCCGGTATACAACTACTGGAAACTCTCAACATCGTTGGGCTTATGCAATGACAAAGCTCGTAGAGATGAAACACCAGTGAGCGGAGCTTATACGCACTCGCTGAGCCAGACAACGGTGTTGCCATGGAAACTCTCAACATTGGGCATTGTTTCGAGAACGTGCTTTCGAACAAAATCATATTACATTACGTAAAAGGGTATTATGACGTATTTTTAAAGTTTGTGGTGCTGTATTCTAAAGGTAGGCCTAAACATCATGTGTTGGCCAATTTCCGGGTGTTATTGAGTATTTGAAGCACGGGAATTCATTTGGAACCGACGGCGTTAGCCGGAGGTTTCAAATGAATTATTCCCGTGCTTCAAATACTCAATAACACCCGGAAATTGGCCAACACATGATGTTTATCGACATTGTAAACACAAAAGTAAACCAAAAGGTCCACACACGTTTTTGTGTCTGCCCTCATTTGACATTGAGTACGGGTACAGCAGTGAAATGCCATCAGACGGCCGTTTCGGCTGTTTCCCATGGTAGCATCTGGAACTGCTCATTTGTGACGTCATTCGGACTTTACGTCACAATATGATTTTAATGACGTCATCACAGCTGACGACGTAACAATACAATGGTGTGAGCGATGTTTGCATGTATTAATACGCAGCGATTTTCCGGGAATCGAATACCATTTGATCACGTTTTTCAACCAATCAGATTAAAGAACACAGTGACTTTTGGTTTACAATAATACATACAAACATCGCTCACACCACTGTATTGTTACGTCGTCAGCTGTGATGACGTCATTAAAATCATATTGTGACGTAAAGTCCAGATGCTACCATGGGAGACAGCCGAAACGGCCGGCTGATGACATTTCACTGCTGTACCCGTACTCGATGTCAATGAGAGCAGACACAAAAAACGTGTGTGGACCTTTCGGTTTACTTCTGTGTTTACAATGTCGATAAACATCATGTGTTGGCGAATTTCCGGGTGTTATTGAGTATTTGAAGCACGGGAATTCATTTGGAACCGACATGATGCTTATCTCCTAATTATCGCCGTATCGCTATATCGCCATTTCGTGTCGTGTTATCGCCATATCGTGTCGTGTTATCGCTATTTCGTTTTTGGGCTGTATCGCAATATCGCTATATAGTGTCGCCATATCGCAATATCGTGTCGTACTATCGCTTTGTCGCGATATCGCCTAGATTTTTCAGGGCGATAAAGCGATGGCCCGAATGAGCCATAAGCTGGTCCCCAGCTCCCTTTGCGCGATATGCGAGACGGGGCCCAGCTTAGAATGAGCCACACCTCGCAGGCAATCCCCACAAAAAAAGAAATTCGTTTTACTTGTGAGACGCAAGTGTTTAAATTTTGCATAAATCTTTATATGACATCAAGCTCTATGCTGAGTAAAATCTTCACTAAAATCACCAAGCCGAACAAGATATGGCGTATAATCTAGTGCAGTTTCAAGTGAATGGGTTTTTTTATCCCAGTATAACACAGGGGTGTTAGGTGGTCTGTACGATGCACATAATGATAAACCCTTTTGTGGCAGGAAAGCCTAGGAATACATATTTTCATAGATGTATGACTCTAAATCTTCTCTTCGTTTAACGTACAATTATAAAATATATTCAATGATACATCTACCGTTTCTACAACAAGAATGAAAAAGGTCTAATTTCAAATAATGTGTGCTTACAGAATCATCAAGGTGTGTTTCAGTTGAACACAATAGCCTATATCGTTTTCAGAATTTTGATTAGACATTAGATCGATTCAGTTTGTATGGTAGACTTCTAATATGAAAGTGGGAAATATGGCTAGTTCTTGTATGGAAGCGGGTTCACTGAAATTGGACCAGGAATTTGTTCCACGTTTACCTTTTTTTAGCTGAGTTGTTACAATGCAAACCTAGCTATGCTCCACGCACTCATGATCAGTCATTTCCTTGCGGATTAGCCTATAGTGGTTATAGCGTTTGCTCGTTCCGGGTTCGATTCCCCACATGGGTACAATGTGTGAAGTCCATTTCTGGTGCCCCCTGCCGTGATATTGCTGGAATATTGCTAAAAGAGGGGGGACATCTACAGAGCTACAACTTGCTGGTCATATTGAACACTTCATGTAGCTGGCGTGAGACGAGAGCCGGCAGAAGCAGAGAATTGTCTCCCTTGAAAATTGCACTCGTCGATAAAGCTGACATTCTGTACACACACACGGTATCCGGAACGGACAAGTGCGGACGAGGGAAGACCATTAGACTACACTCGAAGCCGGCAAGGGTAAGAGTAAGACGTTTAGTCAGTGTGCTTTTTAACAGGGAAGCAACACTCCAACTATTTGTCGTCTATCCGGCGAGGTTTCCTTCATTGTCACCAGATACGTGATTAGAGTGAGAGGTAGACTAACAACTAGTCTCTGAAATGAATATATTTTACAGAAAAAAGGCTCACAGTGAAAAAAAAACCCAAAAGATAATAAAAGGAACCCTGAGAAGCGGTGGAAATCTTGACTTGCCACCTTTTCTAGACTTGCATGAGATTTCTTGGATATATTTGCTTCAGGGTCTGTATGACAGACTACGTGAGAGGCGCTAAAGTACATAGGCGCCTGACTCTGATATATCCTTGCGATATATAACTTCGATCACATAAGCAATAAGCTAACATTCGCGGAAAACTAACTGATAAATACCATTCACGGGTATCTTACCTTCATATAGGTTTATTCAAGGTTTCAATGTCCAAAATTGATAGTAATCCTTTGTTCGAATCTCGCATGGCGTGCCCGCCACTGTCGATATCAAAACAGTGTTGCTGGAAGTGATGTCACATAACTTCGATCATCTGATTGGCTGGGCTGCAGCCTTCGCGGATAGCAATGTATGGAAGGCTCTTGTCGTCAGAATTATCAATCACAACGTCCACAGTTATTTCAAGTTAATTAAAAATGTGAAATAACAAAGTTCACCTGATGAAGGGACCTGGAATGGTCTCGAAAACGTCGTGAGAAAATTAAAAAGAAGTTTAATCCATAAAAATATCTTGGACATCAATGTACAACTTCTAAATGCCACTGAAAGACGTGAAATAACAAGTTTTCCACCAGAACGGCAAATAAGTGATGAAAAGTCACAAAGTTACATACATGTTTGAACACTGAGAAAATAGTCACTCTTCGATCTCCTCGTGACAGGGGCACCAAATTCTGAGTGTCTCCGCACAGAACGAATGGGGGTACAGTTACCCAGTGTTGACACGCAGGGTGTGTACACTGTGCCCATGGAGTAAAAACAAGAGAGACACAATCTCGAAGTGCATCGGGTACAAATTTCTTGCATTTACAGCATAAGTCTGTCTCACTGATGTCATTGTCCAATGAACTATTGGAGTCATCATGATACACTCGTGAAGTCACACCCGAAGTGCTTGGCTTTGGAGAATTCGTGACATCAGTAGATTTCCAAACAGACTTCTTAGCACTGGTTTTATATTTGGAAATGCCGACCCTCTTCTTTGGTGCTGGCTTATCAGTTTTGTGGGAAATGATCTTTTCCAAAACGCTGTCTTCTGTAATCGCCTTCCCCCCCACGGCGCTCATTCTCTTCCCACAGAGGTTACTCCTGTCACATCTTCCTACGTAACCTCTGTTCTAATACGGCCATATTTCCCGGTTCTCGTAAAATCCCCTAGCGGCAAAAGATCGCAACACGAATTATCTCCCTTCTTTCTATCCAATCAGAACACCTGTTACATCGACTTAGATTCAACTTGACTAACACAAGCAAATGTGGGGCCACAAATATCCCCCATCTGCCGGGGACTTGTGTTGATGTTACACACAAGACGTTTAATGGCTAGCTTGTCCGTTGTCAATGAGGGCGATGGAGACGCCACTGATCCGCCATAACATGACTGAGTTCTGTCTAGAAGAAACGTTTACGCATCGCGCAGGGGAAGAAGTTTAGTTTTCTCGAAGCATACGGAAATTACCGAGGCCTTGCGAATGATCACTTTTGAAACAACGTCGCTGATTGCACAACTAAATCTGATTGTCTCCAATCACGAGTCTTGAACACTCACACCATGAACAGAGGACAGAACAGAGGTTACGTAGGAAGATATGACAGGAGTAACCTCTGTGGGAAGAGAATGCACGGCGCTCAGAACCTTTCTTTTTTTAGTTGGCACAGATTTCTTTGAGAGTACATTTTCTTTGTCTTTGAAGAATTCCTCTGCAGTTGTCTCATCTCGTGACCTAGATCCCTGCTTGTTGATTCCACTGACTTCATTGGGAGACATCCTAGAATCACTAACTGGCGACTTGAAAACAGTAGACGGCGCAAAGTTGATCGTAGCTGTCGCCGATTTGTCAAAGGGATATATACCACACTTCCTAAATGAAGACTGCAAATTTGCTGGTGCTAGTGCGAGATTATATGCTCTACAACCCAGTTCACACACAGAATGCTTGTCAACAGAGCTTGATGCATGGTCCCGCATATGTTTGTGGCGTAGATTGTTATAAATCTTGGCAAAGGGGCCGAAGAAGCAGCCAACATCCATAGGTTGTAATACATGGGATGTATGTGCCGGCAATACAAACAGGATTATGTGATTATCACGTGCCCAGTTGATCAGAGGAAGAGATACATATGACTTATGGCCATCATACAGTACAAGTAGTGGATAATCTGCAGATGCCGCGACAGCATGTTTCAAGAAATGATTCTGTAGGTACTGCTGGAAAATCTCGCTGTTTGACCAAACAGAATCACTAACAGTGCCGGTTGATCCAGGTGTACATCCTGTCATCAGTTCATCGCGCATCCGTTGCCCCTTGAAGACAAAGTATGGTGGAATGGATTGTCCAGAAAGCACTTCCGCAACCAATAACGGTTGTTGTACTTGATCGAGGGGATACAACTGCAACTGGTGTAGACTGGCTGGATGAAATGACTGATGGAGGAGAGTGGTTCTCGACAAGACCTTTCTCGTCAACATTGTAGATACAATGAGGGCTGTTCTTCAAGTTATATTTATTCATAATGTGTCCAAGCTCATCGAAGTAACGTGTTACAGTTTCTTCAGATGTTGCTTTTGCCCGCTGTAGTTCTAGTGAACGTGGTTTCTTCACACGTAGGTCAGGCCATCTCTTCATGAAACTGTAAAACCACTGAAGTGATAGGGGCTTGTCGTCATGTGACTTCTTTCCCAGATGAATGGCAAGATCTGTAGCTAGAGTGGTAACTTCAGCTCGAGTGTACCCATATCCAAAGTTGGCCATAGCATCAATATGTGACACCAATCCCTTTTCTTCTTCCATAGACAAAAGCTGGTCCCGTCCAACTGTACAACAGTCAATAGAAATCTTGCCACTTATTCGATCATGGAGTGTTGCAAAGGGAACGGAGAATGTACTGGCAGCTTTCCTGATAGCCATGCCATCCAAAACGGCAGTGTAGGCCTTATCAAGTGCTTCAGACAAATATTGCCTATATTGACCTCTATTACAGTTACTTAAATAACAAATATCACTTTAAGAAACATCTACCTTATGTAGACTGAGGGAATAAATTTTGAGACATGCCCTAAAATGTGTTTTTACATATGAAAATATCAAAAACTTAGAAAAATAAGGGGTAATGGAATGTTATTTGATACAAACATTAATTGCCTGTGTTATGTCATCAACATGCACGGTATCAACAGGTGAAATTGAAACCTGAGCACAAGCTCGGGTGAGGGGTCATCTCAATACATTTTATTCTTCATAATGTTGAATATGTGTACGTATAGTATACGTATTGGTTATGTAAGGGATCATGTGATATCCACATTTCGCACACCAACAACACCTATATATATATATATATATGTGTGTGTGTGTGTGTGTTTGTGTGTTATTGTGCATGAGAAAGAATCCCATCACTTGTGTTATTTTATCAATTGATTGTAGACATGTGCAACATTTTAATAAATGTTTTGCATGTCAACAGTATATTTAATTTCTTTGCAAAAATATGGATGTAATTCGGTCAGTTTAATCCAGTTGTGAACATTGGCCAAAGATTTAACGGTATAGCTTCTTTAGAACAGATATATTGTCAGCGATGAGATCTGGCTATGTCGAAGTAGAAACGGATGAGCAATGATAACTTTTTATCTTGCTGTTTGTTTGCTGAAGAGTCTCTGTATGAAAAAAATCAATTAATCAAAGTAAATTTATGATGGCCCAATGTGTATAAAACCAACTGTGTGAATGAGACTTAAATTTGATGCAAGTACAAATTTTATTCAGCTATTGGAATGAAGACCAGTAGAACACTTAATCCAAAATCTGACGAGTCTGAATCCGTGTCCTCATGCACTGGGATCACAACAGGTGTCACAACACTGATGTCCACTCCGTCACGTTAACGGTATTGGCGTTCAATGTCAAGGACGTGGTCCTCTGCCTTATGCCACACTTCAGGGGTTATCCTGCCAAACGATGCATGGATCAACTCCTTCACTTGCAAGAGCTTGAAGGTAGTGTTGTTCCTTGCAACGAACCCTTTACAGTTTGCCCAGATAAGTTCGATTGGGTTCAGTTCACAATGCCTCACAGGTGAACGTAACACAACGTGACCATGTTCAGCAGCCAGCACATCGGCCCTGTACTGAATGGGCTTCCTGTTCATGCAGATCTTCTGCATCAGCTGTATCTTTGTGTCTGCCGGTCTGTAGTGAACACCACACGATGTGAGGAAATCCTGCATCGTCTTCTTCAGGCTACACATCGTCGGTGTGATGCTACATGGTCCCCGCACATTATGGTAGCTGCCATTGTCCATCACTATGACAGTGGGTTGATAAAGATTGGGCAAAAGCTGATGTTCCATCCAATCCATGAAAACATCTACGTTCATCTCCTGATGGTAATCTCCACTTGATTTCTTTGCCTCAAAGACCAACTCACAACCATCGATCAAATCTGTGTCCCGTTTCCTGCATGAAGTACAATCATTCGGTTGCCCTTCCAAGATGGTACCACGGGGGACTCTCTGTTGGTCTGTGGGTAACCACATATAGTCCGTAGAATGGTTCTTGTTTACCCAAGTTTCATCCAGGTAAACTAGCTGGAAGCCAAGGGCACGGTGACCACCTCCGTGGTGTAGTGGTTAGAGCGTCCGCCCGGAGAGCAGAAGGTCGTGGGTTCGATCCCCGACCGCATCATACCAAAAGACGTTAAAATATGGTACTTGTTGGTCCCTGCCTGGCGCTCGGCATTAATGGGTACAACAAGGACTGGTCGGCTCGGAGTCAGTATAATGTGTCTGAGTGAGGTATTCATTCTTCACTGCGGTATGGTATCTCAGTGGGCTAGCACTATAAAACCAGCTTCAGTCTGGGCTAGTACAAGCTGTCGCACATACACATACACACACATGCACGTCGTCATATGAGCAAAATATTCTCCAGCACGACATAAAACCCAATTTCACCTCACCAAGGGCACGGTACTCTGCCACAGTTCTCAAGTAAGAGGATCTCATGGACACAATAGAGTACTTCTCCCTGAAGACAGCTCTGTCATCACCGCGGGCTTTGTACTTGAACCCCATCTCATGGAGGGCAATGATGAGTGTGGTTCTGGAGACGTTGATGCTGTCCTTAATTTCCTCTCAGATACTCCTACATGTAGGTGGAATCTTCTCATAAAGTTTGTAGACCGCTCGTCTAATCACTCCCTTGTCAAAGTTGTCAAGGATGGTTTTACGTCCCGGTTTTGCTTTTGAGACGGTCCCTGTCTTGTCTGATTTGTTTACAATATTGTAAACTTGTTGGTAAGACATACCAACAGCTCCACAAGTTCTGTAATAAACCCTTTCTAAACTAATGAAAGGTTTACCTCTGTCTTTCTCAAGCACAAAAAACTTATAAACCTTTGCAACAATCGACTGCAAATCGTTGGCCATAGTGAATGCTGTGATAAAGATATGCATGCATGATGGGAATAATTTATTAAGATTTAACATTTATATTAATGTTTCTTCAATGAAGAAATGATAATTAAGTCAAGTAACACAAACATTCAACATTTTATTTGTGTAAGAAAAACGTTAATTTATATTTTTGCACCACCTGTATTATTAGCATAAATTTAAAGACTATTTCAGATTTCTCATGTTAAACTGAAAGAATCTTGAGTTGTTCTTTTGGTACCATATTCTCTCCTGTAAACTGCCCTTTAAATGCATGGGAATGTTAAATCGATTGAAATAAAAATTAGGTACACTATAGGTGAGTTGATATGTTGACAACATAGTACATTTATCACCTTTATCAAAGTATTAAAGCTAAAAAGCATTTTTCTAGCATTTCCGATAGTACTTTAGCCCGAACAGCTTTGGAGGACCTCCCAGATAACCATGGCTGGCATGGGTTGTGGAAAGGGGCTGGGGACACAGTGTATGATCTCATACAGTGCAAACCGGATATAGTGCGTTGTACGTTTATGCTTTGGTTGATAGATACCAGTATTCTACTCGTATTTATAATATTTACAATGTATGTGTGAATTTTCATGTTCCAAAGTTGTTTAGTTATGATGTTATCAATGAGTTCACTTGCAACAATGCAGCATCACTGTACTGGATCTCGCCGAAACTGCTTGTTTCTCTGTATGGAATATAGCGCGTAACTGAATAACGTCCTGACTGAGAACTTACCTATTCAAAGGTGAGCTTTATTGACATGTTGGGACACATTCAACGTATGTATGTATTGTACTGGTATATCTTCAAAGTATGTTATCTCAAATTGCGAAGGAATACATGAAATTGCTTAAAGATTGGAAAAAAGTTATTTACTGCAATTTTACAGGATCTTAGTCATCTGTTCTTAGTTTGTTGTCTCAGACACATGTCAACAAACTCGATATTGGAATATTCCAACTTTGGTGAATATCATTATTACATTGTAACTATTGGTTTATATAATCAATGATATATTAATATTCATATCTTACTGGCCTTTAGGATGTCTTCGATGGCACAACTCAGCTGGTACATGCTGGTTTTGAGAGAACTTGTTACGAAAGCATATTTGGACTGTATCTAATCACCAGTTACAGCTTTCAGAAATATGTCATGTGCAAGAGTTTTTCTTGTTCGTCTGTTTCGGTAACCTGTTCTAATTCACAAATTTTCAAACTTTTAAATTCTTCAAAATACGAGTTTCCAAAATACGAGTTTCGTGTGATACTTAACATTCTTCCGATGAGAGTCGGATGCTCCTCAAACCCCCATAAATCAACATCCCCTAACTTTCCACCCGAACAGGTATTGATTTACTTTCCATTAACACACATTTTGTAAGTGTCAACTTGCTCTGGGTCAGTTTTAGCAATCATAATAATAATAATAATAATGTATTTATAAAGCACCTAATATCCACCACAGAGATGCTCAGTGGCGCTGTGACAATATTAGGGAGGGAAATAGTTCATATAACTTTACAGAAAGGCAGCAGTGAATAGATGGGTCTTTAGCAGTGATTTAAAAGTTTCTTTCGATGAAGTGTTCCTGATTTCCTTTGGAAGAGAGATCCACAGTTTAGGGCTGGCAAAGACAAAGGCTTGGTCAGACAATTGGTTTGGAGATCTGTGTTGGGTGAGGAGAGAGTCAGAGGAGGATCGGAGACTTCACTGACGTTCATACACGGAGACAAGATGTTTGAGATAGTCAGGAAAGTTATCGTTGTAGAGGCAGTCATGAGTCAGAATGAGGATTTTGAAGGTAATTCTTGCTGAGATGGGGAGCCAGTGTAGAGACTGTAGTACTGGGGTGATGTGGTCATGACGATGAGTGTGGGTGATACATCTGGCAGCAGAATTTTGGATTCTTTGTAGTTTCTGCAGTGATTAAGTAGAGAGGTTGGCATATAGTGAATTACAGTAGTCGAGTTTGGAAGTGACAAGACAGTGCATCAAAAGTTTACAAGTGTCAGTATCAAGGTAGTGGCAGACTTTGCTGATATTATGGATGTTGTAGTAGCAGGCTCTACTGATGGAGGTGATGTGTGCATCCATGGACATGTTGGAATTGAGGATGACACTAAGATTCCTGGCACTTTCTGATGGTAGGATGTCTGTGTCGCCAATACGAAGTGAAGGTGATGGCAAAGCAGTCTTCAACTTTATAAGCTGATGTTTGGAGCCAATGAGAAGGAACTCTGTCTTCTCCTCATTCAACATCAAATATTTGGAGGTCATCCACGATTTGATTTCATGAATGCAGAGTTCAAGTTTGTTGATACTGAGTGAAACATCGTCTGATTCAAAGGCAATGTAGAGTTGCCTATCATCCACATATATGTGGAAACCAATGAAATGCCTCCTGATAATGTCACCAATGGGGAGAATGTAGACTGTAAACAGAAGGGGGCCGAGAACTGATCCTAGGGGAACACCATACAACATTGGTGACTTGGATGATTGTACATTTCCGATTTTGACAGATTGTGTGCGGCCTCGCAAATATGAAGAGATCCACTTCAGCGCATTTCCTGTTATCCCAATGCGATGTTTAAGTCGATGCAGGAGTAAGGTATGATCTATGGTATCGAATGCGCTGGAAAGATCAAGGAGCACAAGCGCTGTCTCCTTTTTCTGGCCCATATTCAGAAGGATATCATTGTGGATTCGCACCAAAGCTGTCTCCGTACTATGAGATGTCTTGTAGGCCTACTGGAACGATTCTGCAAGGTGGTTTGTCTCAAGATGCGCCTTCAGTTTGCCAGCTACAACTTTCTCTAAACATTTAGATACAAATGTCAGGTTGGAGATTGGATGGAAATTTTTCAAATTGTTTTCATCAGTTCCAGGTTTCTTTAGAACTGTCCAGCATTTGCATAATGCAAGCAGGTACACGTTGGTTGTTTTCAAGAGGACCTTTCATTCTGTCCAGAACAGTCCTATCAGGAACTGCAAAGTATATTTTGGAATCATTAGGAACATACACACCACTAGGGACTTTTCCCTTTGTCACTGTGCCGGTGTTTTTCATGCCTGACATGAATTTCAAAAATTTCCCAATTTTAACCCAATTCTCCAAAAACATTTTGTAACCTCACTGTATCTCATCAGTACAGTGTTGTGGAGTGAATACCACTTCAGAAAACAGCATGAACGCAATATTGTCCAAGGGAAATGAATTTGAAGCAATCGTGTAAAGTTAAGAAACATCATCATGCCCAACGTCCTTTAAGTTATTTTAGACTAGTGGAAGCAATTCTGTCATTTCTTTCATAGAACATCCATCAAAACTCCCACATGCAGGAATAACAATTGTTGATGAGGTCCCAGTGCTAGGTTTGTGCGAGGAAAATGTTTCTGTATTCCTATCTAGTTCCTCTGTTAAATCATGGCTTGACAAGGCTTGCATCTGGCCAAACACACACCCCTTCATATCACAGTTAGACTTTTTCTAAGGAGACTGAATGCTTCATTTTAAATTTTTGGGTTTAAAGATAAGATTTTTGGGTTGTGTCGTCATTAGAATTTGTATTTTAATTCACAGGATGGGTGATTGATAATACAGTGGTCACTGATAATGTTGAAAGAATTTGTCCAAAAATCACAATAATAGCAAACTGAAGTGTTCATTTAGTCGTCCTGTGTTGAATTTAGCAGTACCTTAAGGACATTAAGCAAAATATATAATTTGGAACTTTAATTACTTTGAAATGATAACATGAACTAACTAGAAACCGTACAGTGATTTGTTTTGAAAGCACTATCTACCAACTGTATTAGCTGCTATCAACTTGTACGGTGATGATGCATAGGTGGGTTACGTTTAACTCTCGTGTAAAGAAACGAATACTCTATGTTAGGAATATTATACACCATTTGAAAGCTTATTTATCAAATATTTCAGATGTTGTCAAAATGTAGCAGGGTAAGGGGTGGTTCTGTTCAATGAAGATCAACGCCTGCTGGGGTGTGAGTTGTGACTTGTGCCACTACTTTATTTTTCAAACATATAGATTGTTTTGTTCCACCCTGTAACATAATAACAATAATCAATAAAACAGTCATATCACATCTGTACTAATATAGTAGATTACACATAAAAGTTACAATTACTGATAATAATCATATATACCTGTCACAATATATTCATTGTAATACAAATTACTTGAACTGCATCAAATCCAAGAAAGTAATAAACATAAGTAATAAACACATGCAGTTCACAAAAAGGTATTATATGGATTAATTGCAGCAGCAAAATAATACAATATCAAGGGAACACATAGGGAACACATATCTGTGGCAATGATATATACATGAAATATAAACACATTAAAAGGATAAAATACCTACCAAATATATGGTACTCAGGTGATATTACATTGTCCACCTTAGTGAAACAGCATGTCCATCTATAAGTGATATAACACACAATTAAGTATATTATGCTAACCTATTATTATATCATAATGAAACATATCACTCTTTAAAACAAACCTACTTAATAGACATATACATATACCTTACAGCACAACATTATGTGTACTGTGATATTCTTATAAATATATACAATGAACAATTGTTAAAATAATATGGTATCTCAAGTGGCACAGACATTACATGTACCATCAAGTAGACAACATGGCCAACAAAGATGACCGCTAAGCAGGCACACATGCTTGTGTCACCTGACTTCATAAAAGATTACAATTATTACTAATAAACTTATAATGAAAATGCTGATGCAGTAAACATAAAAATCAGGCCTATCAACACACAATATTTAATAATAATAAATATACACTTGTATAGCGCTTGTTTCCAGTATAATGAACTGCTCAAAAGCGCTTGTGAGCAATGAACTGTCCTGGGAATACACAGTCTAACAGTAGCAGACTTTAAACAAATGTGTTTTCAGTAGTGATTTGAATGATTCAAACTCAGGGGCACTTCTTATTTCAAGTGGGAGGGAGTTCCATAACTGGGGGGCTGAGATTTCGAAACTTCTCTCGCCAAGTGATGTACGAGCTGACGGAAGCTTCAAGAGACACTGGTTACAGGAACGTAGAGTTCTCTCAGGTTTATATTCTTGGATGAGTTCAGAAATGTATGCAGGAGCATCCCGGTCGATAGCACGGAATGTCAGAGTCAGCACTTTAAACTTGATTCTGTCCTCAACTTTGAGCCAGTGGAGATCTTTCAGGATTGGGGTAATGTGTACTGATCTTCTGGTTCTCTTGATCAGTCTTGGCGGCAGAATTCTGGACTTTCTGAAGTTTAAAGACAAGACGCTTTTGGCAGCCCGAGAAAGAAGGGAGTTGCAATAATCCAGATGGGAGATTACACAGGCTTGAACGAGCAAAGTTGTTGTTTTGTTGTTGATGAACTGCCGTATCTGACTGATGTTTCGGATATTCATGTAAGCTTTTTTGCAGACCCGGCTTACATGGCATTCAGCACTGAGTGTGGAGTCAAACATGACACCAAGATTTCTAGCCTCCTGGCTAGGTTCGATGACACAAGATGACAACTTAAGAATGGGAAGTGTTAACTTTGTTCTCATAGCTTTTGATGCAATCACAAGCATCTCAGTCTTTTCCTCATTCAGCTTTAAGAAATTCATGGTCATCCAAGTCTTGATGTCTTCTGTGCACTCTGCAATTCTGGAGAAAGCAGTATTGATTGAGGTTTTATCCTTCGGCTTGAATGATAGATACAGCTGTGTATCATCTGCATATAGATGAAAGCAAAAATTGTGTGCTCTGGCAATATCTCCAAGTGGAGAAGTGTACATCGTGAAAAGTATAGGACCCAGTACCGAACCTTGCGGAACACCATACTTGAGCTCTGTCATGTCAGAGCTATAACCATCCACATACACAGCCTGGTATCGGTTTGACAGATACGAATTAAGCCAGAGTAGCGCTTCTCCGGTAACTCCAAATCTATCCTCTAGAGTACGTACGCAGTAGTATTCCCTGATCGATAGTATCAAAGGCAGAGGAAAGATCAAGGAGTATGAGTACTGCTGCACCATCTTTGTCAACAGCCTGGAGAAGATCGCTCTGAACACCTAACGAGCAGTCTCAGTGCTATGCCCTTTTCTGTAAGCAGACTGTAGCACTTCCAGTTGACCGGTACTCTTCAGATGCTGGTTTAATTGTGAAGCAGCAACTCGTTCGAGTAACTTGGATGCAAACGACAGATTGGATACAGGTCTATAGTTTTTTAAAACCTCTGCATCCAGTTGTGGTTTTTTCAGCAAGGGTGACACAAAAGCTTTCTTAAAATCTGCAGGAACAGAAGATTCGAGAAAGGATTGATTTACAATGTGAGTCATCACAGGAACAACCTCATCCAAACAGTCCTTGAGGAGCCATGTCGGTAACGGGTCCAGGGAGCAAGATTTGTTTGGACATAGAGAGATAAGTCTCCTGGTTTCGCTTCTCATGAATCTGGGAAAATGAGGACAGTGAGTGATGATTATCAGGAACGCCACTGGTGGGGATCAAGGTAACAGGTCTCACAGTTATACTTTCCAGACTGGAACGAAGAATTTCAATCTTTTCCGCGGAAAATACTTGGAGAAAATATTCACCATTTCGAGTTTAGAGTCATAGTTTGGCAGAGGCTTTGAATGCTTCTTGAACAAAAGTCTGCCACACAGCCGATAAAGATCCTTTTGGCCATTAGACTTTTCAATTGCATCATTGTAAAAGGTTTTCTTTTCCTTGTATATAAGGGCATTGACAGCATTGCGCTGGGCAGAATGCATCTCTTTGAAGACTACCAGATCAGACGATCTCATCCGCCTTCTCCAACTGTCGCCGATACTGTTTTGCTGCCCGATTTTGTCATTGTACCAAGGTTCTTTTGAGTGAACTGTTACAATACGTTTGGATATCGGAGCAAGGTCATTAATGACTTTACGGACTTCACTATCATAACGACAGGCACATGCTTCAACACTAAGCTCAGAATACCCTTCAAGTGCTGTGGAAAGAGCTGACTTCAAAACAGGAAGACTGATACAATCCCATTTCCGAAATGATAGTTCTTGTCTTGGTCTTCTGGGTATAGAGAAGCTTGCTCTAGCGAGGATAGCAAAATGATCAGATTGAACTGACTGATCAACGCCAGTGATCTTTAAGTTGAGTTCTTCATCTCTAGTGATGATGAGATCTAGAGTATGTCCTCGGACATGTGTCGGAACAGAGACATGCTGAACGAGTCCATGTGAGGAAAGAATACACAAAAACTTTTCTGTATCTGAGAGATGAACATTGTCAACATGTATGTTGAAGTCACCTAATATCAGAAGTTTACCAGGGACACTGTTAAGGAATTCCAGAAAACAGGCAAACTCAGTAAGAAAGTCTTTTCCATCATGACACGTTCTACACTGTATTCTTAAAACACATTCATACCTTCACTTCACACATTTAATATTATAACCTAAGCAAGAATAATGTTTATGATATAACTATAGTTAACAAATATTACATCCTACATAATGTATTTATAATTAAGTTAACACACCTTAGACAGAGTGAAGTTGTAGACCAAAGAGAAGAAATCAGACATCTGTCAAAAATATCACGTTTGTCATATATAAGATGCTTCTCGTGCGGCTGTATGTGGTAGACTGACTAAAATGTGCTGATGTTAGTAAAGAAGAAATCATGCAACATAAAACTGACCAATCAGAGATCAAGGAAAAGCTTGCCCTCTGAGTTAAGAACAAAAGAACACCCTGCTCTCCCACAATAATACAATAGGAGCCCAGGAGTAGTAGAGGAAATGATTGTCCGGGACCAAGTCCAACAAAAGCCTCTACAAAGCCTTATTTCCCAAATAAGGCTTTGGTCGGACCCTTAGCTCTTGCTGTCATTACCCCTACTATGAAAAATTAGTAAAATGTCCCTGGCAGCCACAATTCCCCAAGGGAGAAATAGAAATGTATTGCGCTTCCTCCCAAGGGGAATTGTGTCTCTCACCGTGAGAGAACCTCACATCACACAAAGTTGCGACGGTGGGATACGAACCCCACATGTACAGCTTGCGCAGACTATACATAATGGGGTCGCACCACTCAACCGACTGAGCTACCGCGGACTTAGCTGAAGTAGGTCAGTTTAACGGGTCTATCCTGAGATCACGTGACACTATACCGTGTTGACAGGAGGTAACACTGTGCCATACGGTACGATCAATAATTCTTCTCTTACAAACCCTCTGCCTGGTCCATCCCTCAAGTAGTACAAGTTAGGCTCGTCGGCTTTCATGTCAATTTTATCTATGTTGTAAGTTTTGATTGACCATATAGGATCGGTGGCTCGCTTACGGCTATCACCCTCGTGTTCCCCAGGCTGGTATAGATACCTAACTAGGGCCCTATCTGGTATCTGTTTCTCCTCCCACGCAATGGAGCAGCCGACTCTGCAACTATTGATTTTAGTTTGATAGCGTCTGCCAGTTTCTTGCCGGTGAGACGGGTGACTTCATGGTTGATTGCCGACACCACCTTAGGTAACCTTGTGACCCATTCAGTCGATCGTTTTCCCGGGGCGGCCAACTCCCTCGCATACTGATGTCCGAATAAGCGCTCAGCCAAAGTCCTATTGAATCTCTCAACTATGGCTTGGCTGCGATGGGCTCCAGCCGTGCCACGCCTGACCTTTGTATCGTGTTTGGCTAGCAGTTGTGACACGGCACCCATGAACTCCCCGCCCGGGTCAACTTGCAGCTCTGTTGGCCACGCCAGCGGACTGCGTTTGTATATGCGTTCGAATCCTCTGGCTACCTGGACCGAATCTTTCGTGGTCAAGGGCTCGGCTTCCTTGTAGCGACTGGCTACATCCACTACGGTTAAGGCATACTTGTACCTCTTATCGTGGGGTAGGAACAGTAGGTCTGCCTGGTGAACGCTATTAGGTATGTTAATACCAAACTTCCTTCTAGGCACGAGCGTGGTGGCGACAAATAGATCTGCCACAGGGCTTGTTTTTCAAGCCACGCTTTGGCTTCCTCCGGGTACTTTCGCCATTTTAGCCAGCTTATCTACAGCGCTAGCTCCTTTCCAGTACCCACGCTGGCTATAGTAAATAGCCTCAAACTTTCTCTGGTTCCTTGACATGTCACCCGACAGGGGGCATTTATTTATACCTATGTTCTTGGTTCAATTTTCTCATGCCCGTGACGCTGCGTGCGTGTTTATCCCATCAATAGCTATCCAACGCTTAGTATCCATAGGCTTACAGGGACGCCTTGTTTATTGTCAGTCCGTATATCTTATGGCCATCACTTCTAAGTGTGTTCATTTTATGTCTAAAGGTACGGGTCTTGAACAGGGCTTCCTTGAATCTGGCGTGTTTGATGTGTTGTTTCACCACGTACTTCTTAACACCCTTAGCCTTCCGGATCTCACTATTGTCGGCTTTCAGTATGGAGTACATCTTAGGCCTCAACCCTATGTACTCAGCTATGGGCATGCCAGCACACTCGTCCTTCATCTTACCTAGGACCTTTTTATTTACCGTGCTGTGTATGGCATGGTCCTTGGGGTAGTCGCTGGTGTCGTACAAATCGAGGTGTTTTTTCATGTCCTCGTACACATCCTCGGTTCGAATCTCCATCAGCAGGGAATCCGTGTCAGTGTATAGCACTTCACACCTGTCGTTGTACTGTTTCTTAAGCTGGTTGTAGTAAAAGTCGTACATCAGGTGTTTGGATAAATCGAGGATGCTCATCCCCACGTAAACAGGCCGGTTGAATTTTATGTGGCTTTTCTTCATGTGTAGGGCAACTAGGTCATCGGTGAATATCTTGCTACGGTTAAATGCCGGACTGGCTATCAGTCTCCTGAGCTTGTCTTCCTCATTCGACCGAACCAGCTTCACGGTCACGCGTTTCCTCAGGTTCTCCATAGTCTTACCAAACACCGAAGTTGTTCATGAGCTTATAGAGATTTTTCTCAAAGTCACTGGTGGCAAGCTTTGGAGGTCTGTGTTCATTCTGATGTAGGGCTCCATCCATGGGCTCTGGTTGAACACGAGCACCCTGTGTATTTTGGTCAGCCTCATACCCAACGACAGGTACAGCTGTAGGTTACGATAGTGAACGATGTACTTGGTCTTATTCATTAAGTTAGGCACGAGTTTTTCAACGTCTGCCACCCGCCCCCCTAATAAGTTATGTTGGTACTCAGACATCCAGTCTGGGTTAACCCTCATACGTTCGGGGGCCAGGGGGTAGCTGTTGTGTGATGTGTGTAATACCTTGGGATACTCCAAGTCAACCTCGAGGATATAACCTTTGTTCGAATCCGGCGCGATGCTCATAACATCAACATGTGACGCCCATTCGAATCCCCCTGTGGGTAGATACTGGCTCATGGCCCAGCCGTACAGGTTGTTGGCGTCGAGGTAGAGAATGTGATTGGTTGGCTTGCTAGGGTCGTAGCCCTTCACGTATTGATTATTTGCTTTCACTGCATATCGTTTGGCTGCCATGGAGATCCCACCTCGCAAGCCTTTCTCAATGAATAGGTGCATGTCGTAATCTGTGAGCAATTCCAACTTAACTCCGGTCTTTTTTAACAATGCATCCCACGACAGACCTGGGCTGGTGTAATACCATGCGGGGTCGAGTTTATACTGCTTGAAACACGTCCGCCTAAACGTCTCAAACACGTCGGCTAACAACAGTACATCTGTCCTCAAGTACAGGTCGTGATAGTCACCCAGGTTCTTACAACCCAGTTTATTCCATACATTAATAGCGTGTGAGTAATCGTCTTGGGATATTTCCGAGTCGGTCAGATTGCTGTAAAATTCTCTGATGGGGGGTAGTCTGGTCTCGGTGAACTTAGGCCAACTATCCATGTACTCATAGGGATACACACCCTTCCTCATAAGCAGGGGTCTAGTCTCGGCGTCTGTGTATCGATCGGTAATAGGGAAGGTATCGTTGGCCTTGACCAGACTGTCTAATGAAGACAATAGAAATTGACACGAGTCAATGAACCTAAGACCGTTTAAGCTGAAGGAGATGTATCTCTCCATGTTGTTGGGAATGCACGTTATATTACCATCGATTTTCGCGATGGCCTGCATGATCAAATGAGAGTCGTACCCTCTCAAGTTGTGAAAGACAACGGGGATGTTTATTATCTTAGGGTTGATTCTAAGCTTGAGATTACACGTGCTGTGAGCGGCGCCTCTATACTTACCGGTTACGTGACAGTGATCTCTCACGGAATCGCCGTTAAGTGGTGAGTCGCACACGTGACAATCAGTGCTACAGGCGTGAGCTAACCGGTCGGCTTGGGTCATACGCATGGGAGCGACTCTATACAACGCGTTCCTAATAATTTTTTCTTCCTCCTGCAAACACTTAAGAAACCTTTCAGCCGCGTCGGGACCCCTGTACACTACCGGAGCTTTCGTTTCCCCGTCACAACGGACGACCACGTATCCAAACCCACAGGCTTCATGCTCCTGTGTTTTGAGTGTGGTTGGGGTACCCCCAACAACCCCGCCGGTAACAGGTTTGACCAAGGCTTCAAAGTCGGCGTATATGATATAAGGCACAGACATTTGGTTCTTGTGGTTGTCGAATTTTAGTATATTGTCACCTTCCTTGGGCATGTCGACGCGTATGGCCGTCTGCCCCACACCTTGGCAATCCTCCTGGTGGGCTTCTAATAAATCAGCTCGGCTGAAACCGTGTAGGCATCGCACACAAAAGTGTTTTTTCCCAACGTGTTTCGACTGGTGGTGCAACAACAACGGCTGAGATGTTTTATCCACGCAGTAGTGATACTTTTCACCTCGTTGGATCATGAATATATTGATAACTTGGTGGGGTTCCCCAAGGGCTGACCCTGTGTACTATTGTTGTGTTACCTTCGTGCCCAAAGACATTTATAGCTAGATTATTCTGTTTTTCTACTTTAGTGATCTGGGATATGGGGTTGGTTCATCTATACCATCCCAGTTGAGCCCATCATCTTGGGGATAGCTAGAAAGCCTGTCTGAATGAGTGTCAGCTGGAAACAAGGCTGACCTGATAGCTACCCTCAGGCAATCGCCTCCTCTATTCTTAACGCTTTACCATGGCCTGTTTTTTCCTATAGTAGGGGGCAAGTCTAGGTATGACCCACCTCTGAACGGCACGTAGTTAGCTATGTCTAGATAGACATTATCGATTTTATCTACAGCCCACCCGGACCCCAAGTGTGTGTAGCGTTCTAGGTATTGCCGTATCTGCTGAAAACTGGCATCGATCGATGCGTCTATGGTCTCTGTATGCGTGACAACCTCTTGCCTACCTCTGAAGTAAGGCTGAACGTACTCAGTGACCCCTCCCCCTACCTGCTTATCGAGCGACATTTTAACTGTGATCTGAAACTTGATACTTCCCAGATTGTGGCTTAATATCTGTAATGTCTATATTCCTATCAACATGCATGCGCCAACCTCTCAAATAGTTACCTACAGCGAGCTCAGTGGGTATGAACTGTAGGTCAATAGCTCTATTCTGCCGTAACAGTTCTACAAGCTGTGGTTTACTCATACGGGAATACCCACCTAACCCCAAATCACGAACTTCAGCTTTCAATTGATTTACAGTGGGAGGTTTTGATACGGGGGCATGTGATAACAATGCGTTTAACCCGGCTCTCCCCAGGTTTGAATAACCTGTGAACCCAAGCTGTTTTGCTTGAGCTTTTAATTGTTTTACTGTGAGAGGGGTTTCTAAACATAGTAATTTCAACAATGCTGGCTTTCGCATTCGAGAATACCCGATAACACCTCTCTGTCTAGCGATATTCTTAAGCTCGCGTATAGTAGTCATAATTGCGTACACACCTAAGAGAATTAATGTCTAATTGGACCACAGTAAAGGGAGGTAACTCATAAAAAATATAGTGAGGCTGTTTCAATCCAGTACTCGCACTGTTGGATATAATATTCCTTGAAGTTGTTTAGGTATTCCTGTATACTTGTAAAACAATTTATCTGATGTTGAGTCGTGATGTCCCCCTCACATGTGAAGGGACGAGTATACTTAACACCCTCTTTAATCCATACCACTTCCAATATTACCTGAAATCTGAAGCGTCCCCATAAGTTAAGTTTCTCTTTGAGTATGTTTTTAACCAGAGATTCGATCTCAGTTTCCACAAACATAGCTATACGTATGTGTGTATAATCTCTAATTGGGTTATAGTCAAAGGGACCAGCCTTACACTGCTATCTTGAGAAGCCGCCTACGTTCTTTTATGTAGGCCTTTTTGTTCTCGTAGATGAGGTGATGTCTGACTACGTTCGCTCCGTGAGCTTTACATAGACAGTAGTGCCCTTTAACCCCGATACCACACACAGAACACGTGTAGTTAGGGCTTCCCATGTGGAAACAACAGTACCCCTCTGTCCTACATCTCTTATCACAGGGTTCTTTCTTCCCCATAAGTATGTATTCGCATCGGTATGGAGCAGGTCTCATGTTTAGCATACTTATATGAGTACTTAGTCTAATTGTTTTGCAACCAACGCAGTCGCTGCTATACCCAGCGCTATGAAGACCAGTTCACGGTCCATTTGTCCCTTGGATGGTGTGTAGTACTGAGCGAGTGTGGGTTTATTGAGTGGTTCCAATCGTTTACCAGTTAATAGGTAGTATTCTCTCGCTGCGTCATCGACTTCGTGGAATGTTTGAACGGCATGGTTTTCACGCCTGAGTTGTTCGTTAGTGTAATCGATCCTCTGGAGGCGTTTTTTAGCGTACTCGGATTGTGCTGTCTGTAATTTTTCAATAGCGAGGTCGTGCCGCTTTCTCTCTACCTGTATTTCAGCCGCGTGTGACTCTCGTAGTTTCGAGAAGAGGAAATTACTCCCGGAAAATGCCAGGGCATTTACTAACGCACCACCGACCATCATGGCCATCCTATATTTATTTCATAATATCTTCAGGTATTATCCCTTGTTTTACTAGGATGTCTTTTGTAGCCATCGCCATACCAAGGTTCATTATTAGCATACCCATATCCTGCAGGTTGAAATCTAGCTTGATAGTCGGTTGTTTAAGCACCATTTTGGTCAACCGAGCGTACCCTACGGCTAGACTGGCGACCACGGTGGCGTGGTATGCATCGTTGACGAACGTTTTCCCCTCAGACATTATGTATATGATATAAAAATATATATTTTATTGCATGATATGCGGGTTGACCTTTAATTGTGGGGGTGTAGGGTTTCCCTCCCCGGAATCCTTGGGATTCCTGTGTCGTATATAACCACGAGATAGCCACGGCAGCAGTTGCGCATACAGCCAACAATAATCGAGACGGGTGGGTCACCTTGATAATTTTATGTTGGTTACACCACCGCTTTTACCGGCAGCTACTCTCTTAGGGATTCTTCTGCCTGGTGACTGTGGGAGGGTTCACCTCCTGGGGGTTCCTCCAGTTGTTGGGGTGGGGTCTGCTCTGGAGGGTTCACCTCCCTGGAGGTTTCCACCGTCTCCTCTGAAGGGGTCTGGGTCTGTGCAGCATCCATCTATACTATTATTATTATTTTTCCTCTCAAATTGACAATGCTTTGCCGTGATAATCGCCGCCGTCACCGGGGCTAATAACATACCGTATTTGTGGTACAGATCGCAGCTAATAGAGCTCAAAGCGTTTTCAATAAAAAGGTCTTTCTCGAGGTCTTCCCACAAGTAAAGTCGGCGCTCCGGGGGGATGGGAAGGAAGTATGACGCAATACCAGTGTATATCTGGGTCATAGCCGATCCTATTGTCTTTGTCATTTCTGCGCCTAGTCTACCCTCGTATCTAGCGTACAGTTTATCGATTTCTTCGGCTGACATTTTGTGAATTTTATCCGGAGTGTACTCCCCAAAGTAATGTTTGGCTTTGCCACCAACAGCCAACGCCACCAGTTTCTCTCGCTTATCATCGTCCACCTGTGGTGATTGGGGTATCAACAATTGTTCAAGCAATTCCTCACACTCCATCTTATAATGTGATAAGTAAGTTTTAGTTTTAACTATATAATATACGATATAAGCGAAACAGAGAGAAATAAAGGTTAAGTTGCACACGACGAACACTTCAAATGCCATAGCTATAACTAAATGCTAAGTATTTATACTAAGCATTGCTAAGCTTTGCTAAGCATTTGCTAAGCATTGCTAAGCATTGCTAAGCTAAAACACCCTATAGGCCACGGGTTGGTCGGTCTTGAGCACGAGCTTAGCGTGTTTAGTTTCAGCGAGCTGTTTCTTCACCCGTTCCCGTTCTAATTTACTCATCACATTGTTCTCTCTCAAACACTCCTCGAACGAATCCCTGTCCTTGCAGTGAAATAAGGCCACCCATCGCGTCTGCTCCCTGAGGTCTTTCAACACCGAGTTGAACTTCTGCGTTAGCACCCAGACGCTGTGATTTGCGTGCCGGCCAGAGAAGGCCAGGTACGATAGCATGTCTCTCTTTTTTGTTATCTCGCGATTAGCGCTGCAGTCGTCCAGTATGAACAGCATCGACTCCCCTTTAAATTTATCGTGAAGAGCTTTCAACCAGTCCTGCAGATGTGTTCCCGGGTCGACTTTGTGTACGTCCGGGTCCGTCATCACCCAAGGTCTTTCCGTGTACTTTTTATTCATGCTCAGAGTAGGACACATGATAACGATGTTGTCGAACACATCCCTGTAGTACCCCTCCAACATATCCAACACGAAAACGGTCTTCCCACAGCCAGTCTGCCCGCACACTATGGCGCAGTGTGGGTCGCGGGGTAAACCAATGCCGCCGGCAGGCAAATAAGTAGGCAACTGCCTACTAGATGATGGCTTGCCGCCATCAGTAGATGGCTTGCACGAATCTCCCATTGTCTATATTAAGTTGCGCGTCCATAATTACGTACAGATATAATTTCAACTTGCCAGCGGGTTGAGCCTTCTTGGTAATCTGGATAGTAATCCCCTCGCTGCCATTGTCTATACGGCGGCCGCTACCGTGTAGTTTATCGTCATCCGTGGATCGCATGTCCAACCACAGCGCGTACTTGTTGGTTAAGTATTCACCGATTTGCACGGATGATAGGTCCAGGTCTTTGGTTATGTATGGGAGTTTGCTCGGCAGCTTTTTTATCTCATCCAAATGCTGGTACGCCCTCATACCATGACTGAACAGCTGGTTGGGCACGCCCTCGATGGTCACTTCCACCTTTTCAATCTCGGGGTTGAAAAACTTCGCTGTCCCTCCGAACGGCTCGTAATCCTCCACGGGATGACCAGGATACCTTTCATCGATCGCTACCGCACGCTCAGGTTGATATTCCACACAGTGTCGCTCTTATCCCGCACGATGGATCTATGCCTCAGTATGCGATCGTACAGGATGGCCACATTCCCCGTACCGGCTTCAACCTGCCTGGCCAGCTCCGGGTTAGTGACCATGTCGAACTCCAGAGAGATGTTGTCTATGGTATAACTGGCCTCATCACCGTTCGGGCGACGCACTACTTTGCTGTAGTCGCAAACGTTAGCTCGTATTCAAGCCTATCACCCAGCTGCCTGGTAAAACGGCGCAGTGTTCCGTGAGCAACTCGAAGTCGAAGCGCACGCAGAACCGTTCCCCGACGCTTTGAGCGATGGCCTTTTCACCGTCCGTGATCTTAGATAACTGGTCTGCCGTGAAGGCATACCCAATCGCGCGACCTGGTCGATTTGCTGATGCCCTGATACACATCATTGACGCGTTCTCCCTCGCTTTTCCAGAGGTCCTTGTAGCAGTGAAAGACGCCGCTGTCGTCGATGCTCAACACCTCGCTTACCGGTGATCTTGATGGTGGTTTTCTTGATGATGGCTCGACCTACGTTCCGCACTAGCTCACGCTTTTCGTTGTCGGAGGTCAACGTGATGTTGAACGCCAGTCTAACAGTGCCTGGTACAATGAGGTCATTCGCGCTTCAGGTTTGGAAATCTAACCAGCAGCGTTTGATTCTGGTCTATCTTGCTGGGATTGTTGGTGATGGTCACCGACTGGCGCACTGCTTTGATGCCTAGAGGCTCTCTCGATCTTCTGAAAGGATCTAGTTTTCTACCGTACATTGTTATATAAATGAAATATATAAGTTTTAATACTAAATAATGGCTGAAGGCGGTCATGAAGAAATACCTATGGATGATATGTGGGATGATAGTGCCCTAACATTCGAGGATGATGAAACCTCATTCTCGAAAGGCGGCGAACTCGTGAAGCAGGCCGTCAACAGGTTTTACGATGGTTTAAAAGAGGATAAAAATTACGTAGAGCCGTGGGGGCGAGACTATACCAAGTTTTTTGTTGATAGCAAGGGCACGCTGCGATTGAGGGCTCGCCCGGAGATCGATCTCATGAATAAGCGCACGAGAGAACCGCTTGCCTTATCAACACTCGGCAGTCGTCATGGGGGTGACTTGATCCGCGATGAACTAGGTTTCATAGATTACGGGGGCTCACGGCCTAAAACCATTCCCCTTCAAGATCTGCAAGACATCAGGGGCGCCACATCGGATCAAGACATGACTGATAACATTGAAAAGCTATTGGCCACATACCATAACAAACCCTTACCCGGGTTCGAATTTACCGTTCGGGAACTACGGGGGCTGGACAAGGCCATGCAAACCATTCGCGGACATCTCGTGAACAACACGGCCAAACTGGACGCGATAGACGACCACATCACCCATGAAAAGGCCAAACTCGGTGAAACTGAGGACGAGTCTCTGAAAGCCACCATCGAGGAACGAATACGTAATTTGGAAGAGGAAAGGAAGACCCGGCTGGAAACGGCATCCTCCTTCCGAGACCAGCTTCGATCCCAGGTCAGCCGTGTGCGGGAAACCGTTGATCGAGTCCTCTACCAGGACACTACGTTAGCTGACAGGATTCGGATCCTGTTCCGGGAGCAAGGCATCACCATCGCCAGCATTCTGACTGCACTGGGCTTCATCATATCAACCCTGGTGGTGTCATTGAGTGGGGGTACCCCCACACCCCTGGCGTGGCGGCACACCACCAAGTGGTGGGGGTGTCAAAGAGTGGATAAAAAAACTAGGGGAAGCCCTGGCTAAACTGGCTGGTAAGGCCGCCGAAGCCCTGCCCGGCATCCTGGGTAGCATCGTCTCGTGGCTGCTGAGCCTGGCTAAAACTGCCACGTGGCTTAGTCAAAACCTGTGGGCAGCCATCGTCGCCGTGGCGGGTCTGGTGTACGTAGCGGCTAAGGAATTTTTAACCAAATAAGTCCCAAAGCTACCCCACCAACCACCATAGCTGTTTTACGATCGATGTGCTGCTGTGTGTGTGACCCCACAGGGGGTGTATGTTGAACCCTAGGCTCCGGGGGTGGCGCCACTATACCCGTTTCACCGGTCGTGGGTGGTGGGACGTGGGGGACGTTGACATCGAGGTTGACGCCAACTTTTGACCCGCCGTGGCTATGACTATTTCGTTGTTGTAGCCCACCACTTTTTACTCTCAGTTGCATATCGCCGAGCCATGTACAGTCCCACGTTGAACACGTGAGTCGACTTTCGACCTGGCGTATTCCAACACGCCTCTTGGTAGCGTTTGATGGCACTCGGGAGATCAACTGGAGCATTGATAGCATCCTCAACGTTGACAACAAACTGTTTCTG